ACAAAACAAAGTCACCTTCACAAGAAACAGAACACACTACGCCTATGCAGATAAGGACGCTTGATAATGAAGAAACCGAATGACTAGTTATGGCATTTTAAGGATGCAAATATAATAGACCTGCGAAGTGTTGATCAGTTTACCGATGTTTCAAAGTATTTAACGAACTGGTTCACTTATTCGCTCGTTCATCCTATCGATATGCAGAAGCTATCTTGTTACGGGTGGCAAATTTTATGGAATCATCTTATTTTTCAATTATTTACAATGGCGATGCATAGACAATAAAAATGACCCCGGTAAGAATTTAGTTCTAACATTTAACGTTGTTGCCGTTAGCTCTCAGTTCAATTTGTATATCAGTTACCTTCAATTGAAAATTGTCAGACTATAGTAACTGTATTCTTCTCAATGACATATTACACGTATATCCGTAGTCACAGTAAATATTTACGAAATACGTATTTTCAAACTTCGCGGGCTAAGTACCTACAATTGATTGGTGATTTTGTAATTTTTTTGTGTTGGTATACTCGTCTCGAACATATGATCACAATTTCAGCTGTTTAGAATGTTTAATCTGTTGCTATCAAAAAAAAAAAACAAAAAAATTTGCATCAAATTTTGCGATAAAAATGGAATTTAGTGCTCAGAAACTCTTGAAGCATTGACAGTGGTCATTGAAGTCAGAAAAATGTTTACAAGCGATATAAGCCTTTCACAAACAGAAGTTGGAAAATACGTGAATGACGACGCTCGCCCTGGACGTCCCAGGCACATCAACAACCGATTAAAATATTGAGAAAGTGAAGAAAATTGATTTGCCATGCAATTTTTTCGAAAATCTTGGACATGAAGCATGTGGCGGCGCAGTCAGTTCAGAAATTGCTGAATTGTGACCGAAAAAAACCGTCGCATGAGCTTCGCTCAGGAATTTTCGAAGGACGTCAACGATGATCCAGATTTGCTTGAAAGGGTCATAGCTGGTGATGAATCATATCATCGAAACCAAAGTCCAACCGTTCCAGTGGAAGAGCCCAGGAGAGCCAAGAGCAAAGAGCACCAAGTTTCTGAGTTTGCTTGTGAGTTTTGCTCACTGTTTTCTTCGATTGCTGTGACGTGGTGCATCAGGAGTTCTTGTCAAATGCTCGTACAGTCAGTAAGGAGTATTATCGTGACGTTATGCGCCGCTAGCGAGAAGCAATACTAAGAAATCATCCGGTATTCTGGGGAAAAAATTAAAGGATTTTGAATCACGATGATGCACCTTCTCATTCGTCATTGCTTGTTCGTAATGTTTTGGCCAAAACAGCTCCGTTATTCATGCCTCGGCCACCGTATTCACGAGATTTGGCCTCTCGCGACTTTCCCCTTCTTACAAGACTGAAGAAACCCCAGAACCGGCTTCGAGGATTGGGAAAAACGATGGAACAAGTGTATTTAAACTGAGGGGGTCTACTCCATGTTCTACGTTCTGTGTTTGATCGACTACCTGTTTTGACCCTATTACCTTGGCTTCTCCTGCCTCTGTTATTATACCCGTATTGTCATGTACGGTCTGTTTGCTTTTGCGAAGAGAAAACGTTTCTCAATGTTGTTGGTCATCTTTGCGCATCATTCCTCTTGTCGATTTTCAATTTCAATAGACTCTCTGCTTGTTCGAGAGTTGAAGTTTTCATTACTTGCTAGTATTTTTGTGTTTTCGAAATAGATATGGCCTTTCGCCAATACGTGTTGGAAGAGAAATGACGTGGTGACTTTTCCCTTCACTGCCACTTTGTGTTCATATTTGCGTATGTTGATACGCCTGTTGGTCTGACCTATGTAAGTCTTGTCACAGTCTTTGACATCGTACTTCGTAAACTCCTTGAGACTTCAGTGGTATATGATCCTTTTGGATTACGGAGCATGGACTTTTTTGTACGTTTTGGTAGGATGCTGTTGTGTTGCCGGATAATTCTGCTGATTTTGTCTGTAGTTCCTTCAATATATGGAAGTATGGTTGTTATGACCGGTGTATCTGGGGTTTTCTGCTGTTTCCGTGTGGTCTTGTTGTCTGTGTTTGTTATTTGCTAGCCTCATCGAACGTGTAATCAGTGTTTCTGCCACCGAGTGAAATTATTTTAGGTGGTGGTGAGAATTTGCGTTCAGGTATCTATTAGTGTGTGTTGTTTTTCGATATACCGTGTTGTCTAGTGTACCGTCTGGCTTTATTATGATCAACACAAGAAGAAATGCGAGCTGGTTACACTCTTCATCTTCTTTCGTGAATTTGATCCGTGGATGGATTTCATTCAAGGGATTGAAAAACTTCGAAAGTTCCTGGTGCCCATGTGACCAAATCACGAAAATGTCATCGACATATCTCAGCCAGAGTTTAGGTTTCAAGTGTGACGTTGCTACTGCTTTGGTTTCGAATTCTTCCATAGATTGGCAACAATGGGTGTCTGTATCGTTGGTCGTTATAGATGAAGTACGCGTTTTAGATGCAATGTTCCGCCAAGGTGATGATATGTTCTTCCGGTTTGTATTTTTTTATTATTCCTAGTGCCTCTGCGGTGGGTGCCTGGGCGAATAAAGAGGTTACATCAAAGCTGACAAGGATATAGTCCGGACTAACGGTTTGTGTTTTCAATATGTCTATGAAATGGCGTTACGCACATATGAATTGACGTTTTCCGCATGTGGTTGGAGTGCATGAGCAATGTGTTTTGTAAATTGATGCACTGGTGAACCTATCGGCCGATTGGTCTAAGTGGTGCCACTTTAGGGAATCCATAACTTTTAGGGCACGTAGATGATTTCTCTCTTGGAATCAGATGCCTTTCGATTTCGTTGTCGATAGGAGAATTATTGATATCAGTTTTGTGGTTTTCTCTAGATAGGTAGAGGGAGGGTTCTCTAGTAGTTTCATCATTTTGGTTTCGTAGTCTATGGTAATTAATACCAGTGTTGCATTGCCTTTATCCGCTGGTAAATTGATGACATCCCCATTCTCACGTAGAGTTTTCAGTGCTTGGTATTCATTATGAGGTATATTTCTGGTCGGCAGTTTTGCGTTTTTGAGTACATGTGCGATGTCCTGTCCAATTGACTCTAGCGTATCCTTGTAGCTTATTCTATTCAGGACTAATTCTACATTGCTAATTATATTTTCAACCGGTATGCTACCTGGTGTTGGGACCTTTAGCTAGCGCCTCAGTGGATGCCTCATCCTGATGATGACTCAAATAGTTGTAAACCACTCTGGTGGGCTCAATCCTTGGTATGTTCTTTTTTCTTCTTTGTGTCAGACTGATATGGTGGAACTTCTGTTTGTTTGTTGTGATCTCAAAATCATTTTCCGCTCGGAATTCTGCTAGTGTGTCAGTCTTATCCCATACAACGATCAGTTGTCTTCTGGTGTCATTGATGTTGACTCATAGGAGTGCAAAACTTGTTCATCTCATGATGTTTTCTGTGGCGGGTGTCCTGAGGTGATAATTTACTCTTACGCAATTGGGAATGATTTTTTTGGTCTCTACAGCGTCGAAGAAAGGCGAATTGGCAGAGAGGACTGGACCTCTTTGTAAGACTGAGGTTCACAGATCTCTCAATCCACATTTAAATTACCCCTCTCACCAATGTTTTGACAGAATCAACGAACTTAGGCGTGCGCAGCGTTATAGAACAGTGCTTTCAAAAAATGTGTTCTACAGCGCCATCTAGTGGCGAGATACAGAAAAATTGATAACCTAAAAACCTTCTCTATGAAAAATTACTTAAACATGTCAAGTTTCATCACGATTAGTTAAGCGATGTAGAAGTTTATCACTTACCAACAAACAAACATCCATTTTTATATATTAGATTAGATGGGAAGTGTTTATAATATTCCGCCAATAATGTGTGAAGTAATTTCAGTTTTTTTGTGGAGTCGAAAATCGTACAGAACGATCTGTTTACTTTTGAACGAGAAATGATCAGTTACCACCTCGGTAGAATGTGATTTTCAAATCCATCTGAAACTCTAATAATGAAATTGAAAGACACTTTTCGTCTTATAATTTTATTAATGAGATGACATTGATCAACATTTTATAAAGAATCGCATTTACAAAGAGGACAACAAAGATCCATAATAAAAATAGTATTATGTTGGTTTTTATTCTTATTTGGTACCCTCGTATAGAAAATAATTTCCCTTTACCACTTTAAATTCCACATACAAATGAATATTCAACATATCAAAAAGAGACACTTGAAATTCCCGAGGTGTTTCTGCAAAAACAAAAAATTGAATAAAAATATGGATCATTCGTTATGATCGAGTTGATTTCATGCTCTAATTTGCAAGAGTAAAAGTATTATTTTTGTATTCCACACTACATGCTGTACAAATCATCACACTATACAGGCTACGAGAATATGTGAGCAAATAATAACACCAAATTCGCCCCGAGACTTGACAGATGAATATACATCGTTAAAATTCACAATCTATTTCTATTATAATAGAGAAAATTTGCCTAAATATTAAATATTTAAATTTGAAGGGCCTAACTTTTTTGGGAAGCATAACATGTTCTGCGGATGTTTTTTCCCAGCAGAATGTGAAAGGATGTCTGTTGTGTTGGCTACCTTGGAACGTCTGGTGCAAGGAAAATTATATCTTGCAGATTGTACCGATTTGATTTTGACAAATTACTGAAGATGAGTATAGAAACGGTCGTTGTATTTGTGGTCATTCGAAGGTAGCCTATTGAATAAAATCACAGTTTTTGTAGGATGTGAGGAGTATATGTAACAAGATGTTGGAAAACAGTGACGATAGGGTCGTACTTCATAACAGAGATTATTCGAGCTTGTTTTTCATTCTCAGTGTTCATAATGAGACCATCACAATTTTCAAACATCTTGTGAGGACAATCCAGTTCAGTCTTAGCACAAAATGACTAGTTCATCCAATTCTTTAATAAGTCTACTTAATTACAACTGGAACACCGTTTCTTCCCTAAAGAAAAAACACTGTTGCACTACAGAAATCAACTGTATTTGGCAAAATTCGTTTAATGCAAAAAATCAGCTTTGCAGCTACTACGTTGGCACTAGTGAGGCAGTTCCTACACCGTGGCATCTATTTTCACTTATATCACAGCAGTCTTATTTAATCGAATGAAGATTTTACAGTGAGGTTTCATGTTGCACTTCTTCCTTTGGTCGAGCCCCATCGAATTGGAAGCTGGTACTGGGCACAACTTCAACTTTGCACAGTTCATTGCGAAGTAGTTCCTCGGTGCTCGGCACAGGTTTCAGGCTTTCGGCCATCATCGCCTGTCTCGAAGTCGATGGTTCCTCCATGAGGAGTATACCTCTAGGGGGCTCTTCGATGTAGTTGATGTAGATCCCTTCCAGAGGATCCGTTGGCAAGTTTTCAGCTGCGGATCTTTCCGATGGTGTGTAGTACAATGATAACCTGCTCTGGGTGACGTCCGTAGCGCTGCAGTAGAAGTTTGATAACTTTTCCATTTTGGCTTTGATGTAGCAGTCCACGCTCTCGACGTCCTGGGGATCGAACACTAAGGATTCAGCACGTCCGCAGGTACCGGCGCGGCAGTTTTCAAAATAGAGACTGGGAAGGTTTTCCAGGACCTTGTTCAGTGTTTGCTGCTGGTACTTGTAGGTTTCACGCAGTTGCAGGACTTTATGGGCGCTGAACTTGCGGATCTTGTTGCGTTGAAAGACATAGTTCTCTCGCACCCAGTTGAGCTGTGTGGTAGAGTAGTCTCGTACTTTTTTCACCTGAAAAGAAAGTGTTCAGTAAAAACGGTATCCTGATGTATAAAATTCAAAGTCTATTTAGTATGGTCGGCAGATTTGAATACAGTTTTAGATTTTTAAAAATACCTTGACTCGCATTTCGCCATCGGAATTTCAGATCAAGGCCAACTCTGCTAGACAAACTGTTCAGAAATACCTCGTTGTTGGCTCGTTTTTCATTTTCATACCGAAGCATTTGACATTGTAACACAAATGTATCGTGCTTACCTGATCGCAGTACTGGCCGCGCAAAGTACTGAGGTGAGCCGTACCGATATCCCTGAAGTCTTTAAGGTGTTTTGCTTGGGACTGATAGCTATTCTGAATCCAATCCATTTGCTGGGCGCAATTGTCTTTTATTCTGTGAACCTGTGGAAAAAACGAGAGTTGCTAAGTGATATTTATCGATAGATGTAGAACCAGATATTGTACAGACACAAACTGGGAAACATTGGCAACAAATTTGTTAAGTAACGATCCGTTACCTGTTGGGTATAATTTTCTCTCAGTCTCTCTAATTGTTGACTCTTGTACTGTTCGACGTTATCCAACATGGCGTAAATTTGGCGCGCCCTTGGCGAAACACGATCCCGCTTACAAAAACTGCAAAAGTTGTTTAGCAAACCGAACCTGAAAATAGAATTTATTCTATAAATTTTGTTTGTAATAATTATTTTTTGATCCCGTTTGTATAAAACGCGCTGTTTCTGCTTCTGGTGAAATTAATTGCTTTCTCGATTGATTCGTTACGATCTTGTTTATGCTTCTCTGATAAGTATTACATATATTTATAGAATGGAATATTCATTGTAGAGATGAATATTTTTATTGAAACACTCTAAAATCAACTCGTTTCTGATGAGAGATGCAAAGATTAAAATCAATTGATTTTTTTTCTCGCCCATATTGATATGTGAAGGCTAGAGTTTTGTACTTATTAAATCGATACTGAATCTATGTTCGTTTAAAATAAAAATTCATAATGGATACAGATGTGAAAATGGTAAACTTCCAGTTCACCCCGATAAGGTACTGCAAAAATCAAAGTATTTTCTTCAAAGAATGTTCTGTTCATCAGTGACATTGTCCAAATTTAATAGTTTGACCAATCAAAAAAAGATTCAAGGATTTGCTATGGTTTGGAGCCCTAAAATAAGCTATTTCGCAGGTTCTTTCTAGAATGTGGCATCATTTTTCAAACTACTTGACACATTTCAAAGAGATATGTATATTGTTACTTAGCTCGTTTCTATTGATGAACAGGACATTTTTCTTTGAGAATTTTACGCATTAACTAAAAATCTACCATCTACTCCATTACTAATTTTTTCAGTTTCCTTGAACATTCAAACATTGTGAATCTGAAAAGTCAACATAAAATTGTTTATCCTCCACAAAAAAAGATTCCCTCAACTTCAGTCATTTCACTATACTCTTTGATATTGGTAGCTTACTTACTTGTTCATCAAATATCTCAGTAGTTGGATAAGCAGAGTAAGTCCAAGGAATCCCGCGGCGCTTTGAGTTCCAACAATCAAGCTTATTATCCTGACATGATTCCAATCTGCTGGATCGATGTGTAGCAACACGTCATCCGTGTAATTAGCTATAGGATTGCTGGCGTAACAGAAGTACCTTCCGCAATCTTGTCTCGTAACGTTTCTGACCCAAAGGGTGCCGTTATCGAGCACCTGTATCCTCGGCGGGATGATCCTTAAAGGGGTGATCATTTGATCGTGGGCGTGCGGATGTTTCTTGAACGCATCTGCGACGCTGGGGTCCGGGTTCCAGTGGTAGACCTCCCTCTTCGGCGTTACCCAAGTGATAGAAGGGGGTGGGTTCGCCGCGTATTTGCATTCCAGTAAGGCGTCCGTCTTCAGACGGTAGAGCTTCGTAGGAGTTTTGTAAACTATCCGGGGGCTGGTGCAGTTTAGATGTTGTAAAGTCGGCAGCATATCGTTGGGGTAGGCGTAAGGCCCACAACTCAAGTCAGACATGGTCATATTTGACTTTTTCTTGGCGGTGGCCCAAGAAGCAAACCAGTACATTCGACAGTCGCACGCCCAAGGATTGTCGCTGATATTCAGCTTATTGAGAGAGGAAAGATTCGCAATCGATAGCGGTAGGAACGTCAAGTCGTTGCCGCTGATATCCAGCTCTCGGAGAGCAGGCGTATCTGCGAGCACGTAAGTCTCTATCTCTTTAAGCTTCTTGTTCCTCCTCAGGCTGAGGAATTCCAGTTTAGGCACCCCTAGCAGTTCGGTATCGTGGATCACCTCTATCTGAGTGTCGTCTAAAGAGAGGGAGATTAACAGCGGGCTGAAGTGCAACAAACCGAAAGACAACTGCGATAACTTATTGCTGCTCAGATCGAGTATCTTCAGTTTGCCCAGCCCCCTGAATGTTCCACTAGGCATGTTCACCAGGGGATTGTGAGCTAGATTTAAGTACTCCAAATTGCTTAACGAATCAAACAACCCCATCGAGATGGCCTGTAGCGAGTTGTGAGATAAGTCTAGCCTTTTCAATTCAACCAAATCAGCAAAAGCGTTAGACGTGATTTTCGTGATGTTATTGTTATTGAGTAGTAACACTTCGATGTTCCGGTTCAGTTTGAAAAAGTGATCAAGAAATGTAACTAGTTGGTTGTGCGACAAGTCCAACTCTTGCATGCCGACCATCGGCGCGAAGACTTGAAAGGGTATTGCTTTGAGGAGGTTGTAGGACAGGCAGAGCCTGAGTATGTTGTCGGGGTATTCGAAGACATCCCTGGGAAGATCGTTGATTGCGTTGTGAGATAGGTTGAGACCGATCAGATCTGTTAACTCGCGGAACTGATAGTTCCGCAGATAGCTGATGTTGTTGTAAGAAAAATCTAGTTTCTGCAGCGACTGAGGATTGCGTATCATCTCATTGATGCTAGTCAAATCGCTGTACAACCACCGTATTTGGCGGACGTTTTTGACGTCCAAAGGTCGACCTGAAACATGTTCCAAGTCGAGTCGGCTGATACCCTCGGGAATCGAAACATTTTCCGTGTTCAGATTTCGACATTGTAGAACGCTGTAGTTGGAGACGAGGCAGTTTCTTGGATGGACCGGCGGAGACCGTTGATTCAGGAAGCCATTTCCGTGGCGGGTGTGCGTTGCCGAGATCCCCACAAATAACGTGATCAACAACGCCCATCTTATATTACCGGCTAATTTCGACCGGCGATTTTCCATGTTCTGGACCAGGCATTGTCTTGGAAGCGGAAGGTCGTTCAATTACCTATAATAAAAAACCTAATTGTTCAATTAAAAAGTAGCAAGAGTTTTCATTTTATAGTATACACAGTAAAATGATCACACAGAAAATATATAGTTGTAAGACAACTCTATGTAGGTACCAATTGAAACAATTCAAGTGTAGGGTTAGAAATATAGTTCTACTATTTAACCCATGAAGAATTTTTTTCTAATGCTTGCTCTTTTATTTCGTTCGCCAAATGTTTCTACAGCGTATATTAAATATTCAAATACTAACATAGCAATTGAAAATGAGTTTCTGAAGAAGACAGAAAACATTTCACCCTATTTTCACATCCCTCGGTATCATTGTTTGTATACTTATCATATTGCCATATTGTAACCTCCAAGTCTGAGAGGACAATGTCATACAAAAAGTAATAAACGATTAAGGCAAGGCCTAACATACATATTTTATCCGTCGATTTTACCATTTCATTTTATACTTGCTGATATAACCGTTTTTTCACTTGTCGTACTTATGGATAGAGATTATACGATTATGGCTCGATATCTATTTTATTGGAAATCATGACGCCTTTCTAAGAAATCCTGACACTACTCCGAACAAGGTTATTATCAACCAACACGTTATCTTTAGTTTCCATATTGAATAGAGTGCAAATATCGTCCTTGAATACATTTAACGTAAGCGGAAACATATTCTTTACCGATAAATAGTTTTTATTGATGCCTGTGATGATTGGGATAACTTCATTTCAATACAGAAATGTTTAAAGAAGGTGACCCATATGTTGCGACATAACATGAAATATATTTATTCGGTCCCATTTTGATCATTGTGCTCCGTTTATTTTAGTACAGTACTATATTGTATTAGCAATCAATTGATTTTTAGAGAGGCAGTTCACATTAAAACCTTTTAGTGCTATTTGGTATGAAATAGATCAGGGCTTACCTCTGTAGGAAACATTCCTTATTAATAGTCTTCCCAACATAAATTTTGTTTTCAAAATAATATAGGTATGTTTTTTAACATTGTGTCCAATTGCCTAGTTCAAAATTGAGTTGATTGTGCATGTTGAAGATACTAGTTCTTCACAATACACCAAGTCCTAATTGAGTTTTCATACCGCTCACACAGAATCGTCTGGAACGTCGTCGACTTCGCATTTCATATATCTGGTGACGTCACGTCCAGTTTCGCAACCGCCTCTTTGACTCTGTTTTCTGAAGCATCGCATTTCGCCAATATACTTCAAATAGCTGCCGAGTTTCTTTTTTGGAACAAAAAGTGAAAATTACTACTTATGCAAGGAGATTCAACGAGTCCCACTTGTTTAACCTTACGTCAAAGTGAATTATAGCAAGATAAAATTTGTTTTACCAATCTGAACAATTTTATTTTATTAGAGTCTATGACCCAATTACACAATAGGAAGTTAACAAAGGAGAATATGTGGGAGTACAAAGAATAAAACCATCAAGTATATTCATTCGCTAAACCAAATTCTAATATTAAATCTCATGTAACCTACTTTTCAAATTCACATGGCTTCAAAAGAAAACAGTATTCATTGTTCTAAAAGAGCACTTTTATGGCTTGTACGTGAATAACTAATTGAGATTGGTAATTTTAAACAGAGAATTATGACGTGATAACTGGCATGTTTTGAGTAATCTGTCAAGGATTATATATTGACAATGAGATAAGGATATGAACAACGAAAATGAGTGTCAAATAACTTCTCACAGTTTCATTTCATTCCTCACTACAAGAGAAAGTATCGAGGTGTATAAGAATTTTTTAAACAATAAATTGATGAACCTTTCATTATAATTTTTACCCAACATGACACCAAAATGAGGTTATTTATATTTTCAAATTATTTTGAACATCGCGCGAAGTTTATAAATTTCAATAATTGAAATACAAATTTTCTGTCATAATTGTTGTATTTCTAAAGACATGCGAGCAAGTATATTGTTTTAGGTGGATTTTTTTTTGGTTACATTATAGATATGACCCATATACCTGAGTTTTCCGTTATAAATGTCGACTATGACAAATCACCTCGCGTTTTTGCTTGTTTTTGGAGAGCGTGGCATGACCTTTGTATTTTTTATTAAATCAAAAGGGGAGTTGGGAAATCGATAAAGGACTACGTTAGTTGACTTTTGGCGCTTTTCAATTCTGTACCTATTCATGTAGTCCATGTTTTCATCTCAATCTCAAATATTGATAATTTAAAGGTTAATTCATTACTTTTTGCAATTGCCTAGTTGGATTTTGGACTTGGATGATATCGGTTGATTTTAACAGCGGCAGTTATAGACTTGTAAAACAGATGTATTTTTATTACATCATTGACCTAAAAATATTAGTTTCACAGTCGTCAAACATTGCATTAATAGCTAATCGAATTTGATTCACAATTATTTGACCTTGACTTTTTCTTATTAGGTGAAGTGGATGTAGGGAAAGTCGAGCGGTATTTAAAAGAAATTTCAAGAACCGACCCTAGAAAATCCTCAAGGTTTTTCTTTCCGACTGTCATAGGCCTTTCTCTATCTTCGATAAATCGTGTTGTGTTGTTAATACGCATTTGTTTATGGAAAATTGTTGAACCGCAAACAAATAAATCAGTTTATTGTGGTGTAGACACCTAATTGTTTTGATAAGCATTATATTTTATTTGTTTAATTGATGACCTATTTATTTTGTGTAAATATAGGATGTAGAAAATAACATTTGTCTAATTTCTACTAGTAGAAATTAGACAAAAGTCATTTTCTGTATCCTAAATTCATTATATTATAAATATATCATCCCTCTTTAATTGTTCCAAACAAATTTTTGAATCGAGTACGATTACATATGAAATAATTTAAAAACAATGTATTGGTTATCCTGAAATCTTGCAAAAGAAACAATTTATTACCAAACCGACGGCCGGTGCTATACGCTTTCATTCTGCTAGCACGCCAATTATTTATTTTCTAATTACCCAACGTCATCATTTCGCAGAAATCACAAATAAACTCGGGATAGTTGTATTTTCAAGGGAACATACTAACCAGCCATTGTGAGTGAAACAAAAACACTGTAATCCTTATATTCCTGTCAATAAATACGTATTTTATTGATCAAGTTGGTACCACGTGTGCCAGTGACACTGAATAAATATATCCCAAACAATTTCAAGGACGATTCGATGGCTAATACACGAAAATGTTCATCTTCACTATGCACAAGGATTGTTCACTTCACAGTTTTACATACATTTGCCGAGTAAGCTTTGTATTTAGAATCCGGTGACCGTTCGACACTCCACAGACAGAATTTCTGTTCCAGCTGTTCGGTCGCAGAGTTTATGGAGTGGGGAAAGAGCGCGGCCGGACGAGTCCATAATGCGGTTTGAAGGGTGTGGCCGCTCGGCTTCGTTCGTTATATTACACAACTTCTTAGTAGGTACTGTACTAGAGATATCGCTATTTTGTTTGGTTGTCCCGCGTTCTGTACAGGGGGGTTACGTTTTATGTTGATTTATTGCAATTGATCGCGCACCTCTGGCATTTGCCAAAGGTTGGCTAACTGTTCGATGAAATCTAAACATTTCACGCGGAAACAATTAAGATGTATAGAGATGCGATGTATTTCAGATGATCGATTTATTGGCGGTTCAGAATTGTTTACGATTTGATCACGACAAATAATTATATTTATCAGAAATCGATCAAGTTATGGAAACCGAATTGATGTTGTACAAGTCAACGCTGTCTAGATGTCTCGATTTTTTTAGTCAAAGCTTCATTGGGAATCATTGCTTTTTTACAAGCTTTCATTTTACTTCAAAAAACATGTTTTTATGAAACGGATAAATATTGCGAGAAACTTCGATATCGTATTAAATTGTGTAATCTTCACATAACGTAAACAATTATTTTCGGTAAGCGTCATTAAGACTTGACAATAGAAGTGACAAACCACTTATGTAGATGTAGTCAAATTTATCTAGTTTGCCGTGAAATCTCCTACAATATTCATTCACTTATCATTCTTGAATTTAGATCGGTTAATAAAGTAGAATTATTTCGAACTGATCCTTTTTTGAAAGAATTTTAATACTGCCGGAAAAATTACATTCAATGTTAGATAATTGTACGCTTTTTCCTATTCTCCTTACATTTTTTTAATTGGCACTTGCCTAAAATAATTTTTGAACCATATTTTTTTCTGAATGATTTAAAAAAATTATGATTCAAAATTCTTCTTGTCAAGCGACCGCTATTAATATGCCGCATTTTTTTTGGAGTTTTGAAATAATTAGGCCATGGATACTTGTTTGTATAAACATAAATGTTTAGTTTTTGTTGTACTTACTGCAAGGTCTAACAGATACCTTTTTGTGTTCGTTAAAAGTTTTACTGTGGAATTAAAATAAATCCCAATGAATAAACAGGTATCAGGTGTTTCAGGTAACTTGAAATAATGAAAATTGTACTACATACATCAATATAATTGCAAAACATCCAAAATAATGTATTACCAGGCACATTGAAACTATTTCAATTTTTCATTTTAGTATAACTGAAATTGGAACACCGCAAAATGGGTGTTGATTAAAATACGACGGTTGTAAATGAATATTTGATGCAATTGAAATTTTTAATTAGTGTGACAACACATACAGTATGTCTCAGTAAGTTGGAGCAATATAGTACACTTTTTTATTATTAGTTTCTATTGATAATTTAAAAAAATAGATTTTCTTCTCAGAAAAATTTGCAATAACGTATACGAGGTATGCCAAAAAATATGAATTTTGCACCTTTGTTTTTGCCAATATCAAAATAGTAAATATAGTTGTTATTGTCTGATGTCTACATTACATGAGCGTTCAAAAATACTTTGTAGTTCCTCATACTTTGTTAAATAAAATAAAATGTGAATACTAACGATATAAATATTTGTGATGAATTTTTTTCTTATTATCTTTATTGCTGTCGGGTCTTTGCTCGTTTCAATCATTAGATTATGTTATCAGAACACTCAGAAACTTCGTTAAATTCGACGTGAAATAAATCTAGCATAAATATTCAGAATAACACATTGGCAAACTTGTACCTACGTCTAAAATTCAAGAGATAAAATTTGATACTCTGGGAATAAAAGCAATACAATATCCTTATCTTAATCTGAACCAGGAGAATATAACAGATACTGTGGTTATAATTTATTTTAAATATCATAAGCAGGTACTAATACGGGTTATGGATAAAACTGAATTAATTATCTGAGAACAATGTGCTAAATAAGACGAACAATAAGTTGAAATGAATTGAAAATTCTTGTAAATAATCAAATTATGATGCTCTACCATTTCTAGCAATTTCAGTCATGATTGGTAGCTAAACTTTATGACAGTCATCCAGGAATAAAATCATTAACTTCTAAATTCAACGAAAGTTTAGATATTGTCACCTGAAGCATAGTAAACTGCATTGTACTGAATATTCTACCTGAATGCTTTACCCGGGAAAGGTTTCTGTACTAAGCTATCAACAAAAAAACAACACTTTTAAAACTACCTCAGACCTCAATAGTCTTCATCTATAAATCCCTCTCCTGTATAGGTATTTCATGTAGTACAATTATTGACTTTCCATATGTACATTGAGTACCGAAAATGGTTATCAAATATTATTATTGTTGTTGTTACAGTCGCATTGACCTATCAAAAAATCATATTTTGCATATTTCAAAATGAAGTTATAAAATTTGTGGTGTTAACCTTGATATTAAAAGAATCAAATCGAGGAAACGAGATTGAATAATTGACCATCCGGTTCTCTGGTCTTTCTTCGTTACATCGAGTTGGCAAGGTTGTTGTTGAGTAGCGCTATAAAAGTCTTGGAGCGTGCATGTCTGTTTTTATGTTTCGACAAACTCCGTTGATTAGTTATATCCTGCTTTGCTTTGATAGTTCGGGAACAAAAGAGAGTCAACGTACAACGATTTTTTGCAATTTACCGTGGACAAACGTCCACGTTAGTCGTTTGTTGGCTCTTTTGATGATGTTTGGATATTAGAGGTTAGGTTTGTCTATTATTAAGAACGAATTCGAAACATGAGAGTAGAACACTTTAGAGATTTGAAAAGTATCTCCAGTTCTATTCGATAGATTGAAAAAAAAAAATTGGAGCAAGTTGTTTCAAATGGACTGGTGAATGAATTCATAGTGTATTTCATTAGTTCGTACTTCCATTGTCTAATATAATATAAATTGATTTGAAATCCCTGAAAAAAATCAAAAAATTTACCGAAAACAACAATTTTATTAATAAAAAAACTGAAAGTACAAAGAAATAACATACAAGCAACAACCAGAAAAATTGAAATATTAATAAAAGATGAAAATGAAAACGTTCCTGTCGAAGAAGCACTTCAAATCATACTGTAATGAATCTGAAGCCAGCCCTGACCGATGTCCCAGTCAGCAAACGCATGACGCATCGCGAAATACCGCGAAAACTCCGGATGGGTCCCGAAATCCGCAGAGGGATCCGGAACGTTCGTTGACGATATAAAAACGTCGCTCTTCGTCCCGAAGAGTAGTCTGTACCAAGAAAGCGAATCGAGCGGTTAACAAACGGTGAAGGTAAATTAAGCGTTAGTTACTGAGTGGTGTAAATAAATTAGTTGTGATAGTGAAGTATTGTTAAAATAAATTTGTTTAAGACAGTTAATTCTTTAATTCGTTACAATACAGAAGAAGCTATCCGAAGATGGGGACCTGAAAGATAAAACGAACTTACCGATACAAGTAATCATGGAATTACTAGGATGATGTGTACGAAACTGCTACTTCCAACTGAAGGACGACTACTTCCAACTGAAGGACGACTACTTCCAACTGAAGGACGAAGAACTAAATGGGAAACATCTGTATATCGAAAACCCACTCACACAGGACAGTATCTGAACCAGAAATCCAACCACCATCAATCGACTAAGAGAGGAATCATCAAGACTCTTTGAAAAAACTGAAAGAATCTGTAAAAAAAATTAAAAAAGGGTTAGCTGAAGAATAACAACTATATTAAGAGAAAAAAAAACTGAAACTACAAAGAAATAAAATACAAGCAACAACCAAACAAAAACAAATAAACTATTAACATGAGCTGAAAATTAAAAAAATATTAACAAGAAATGAAAATTAAAAATTGAAAGATTTCAAACCAAGTTACGTCACGACGTTTCGATTGTATCCACAATCGTCTTCGGGTGATAACTGGACTTATTCCTCCGAGATCTGACTATTTATAGGTCATTCGAGTGCCCCTCTTCCCTCCCTCCGCTTCATCGGTTTCAGCGGAAGCTGGCCGTTTGGCGGGAGTTGGTCGTATTCTGCTTGATTAGAGGTTTCCATATATTGCGTATCTCTACGCTAGCTTGGCTAAATGCGTTGTTGGACAAGATATATGCGGCTCCTAAACCAGTGTTCTTCTTTGTGGATGACTTCAGCTTGAGCCCACTTGATGTTATGTTGATGAGTCCAAACGTGCTCTGCTATTCCTGATTTGCTAGTTTCTCCTCGCTGTAAATGCATTTCTTGGAATCGCAGTCCGCGTTTGGTGGCCTGGTTTTTATGAGACTGCTACGGATAGTGTTCCCAGATCTGAAGCAGGTTCTGATGACATACTTGGACCCAATCCTTCGTGTCCTTTCCGATAATCCTCTGATGTAGGGAAGTACAAGTACTGGTCGTGGGTGCTTCTCTTCCTTGTGGAGCTCTTGCTGACTGCTAGCTAAAGCCTGTTCTACCATCACTCTGGAGTAACCATTTCGTTGAAAGTCATTTTTGATGATGCCTAGTTCCTTTTCGAGACCTTCTTTTGTATTACAGAGCCCGAAAGTACGGTCTAGTAGAGTCTTGATGATTCCTTCCTAGTTGGTGGTTGGATTTCTGGTTCAGATCCTGGTTCAATCGAAACGTCCTGAAGCAACTTGGTTTGGAATCTTTTAATTTTCATTTCTTGTTGATACTTTTTTAATTTTCGTCTCGTGTTAATAGTTTCTTTTGGTTGCTACTTGTATTTTATTTCATTGTAATTTCAGTTTTTTTGCTTAATATAGTTGTTATGTTTCAGCTAACCCTTTTTTAATTTTTTTACAGATTTTTTCAGGTATTTCAAATCAATTTATATCATATTAGACAATGGAAGTTCGAACTGATAAAATACACCACGAAACATTGTCAACGACTTTCAAACAAAAAATGAATTCATAGCTCAATGAGCGTTATAGCTTAGTTCAAATTGAAATTCGTGTTCGTGTCTGAAAGAAACTTCTGTGTATGATCTATTTTCGTTCTTCCTTCCTTTGTAAGTTTCCAGCAATTTTTGTTGAATGATTGAAAAGTAGAAAGCCAAAAAGCTTTTTTCCAAGAAAACCTATGAATAGTTCCTTTTTAATGTATATACTTGTTGGGCTTAAAAGTCAGTAGGCTAACACACAGATGGCAGTACTAGTATTAAATCTATATAATTTTTAGTCAATCCTAACCTTCAAATGAGACGTGTACACATTTCACAGCTGTCGGACTACTAGTTCGTGAGATAGAACATTTTTAGTGAAGCAACTTTTATTAGTTTGAAGAAAATGGATAAAAATTAATTTCGTCTGTTGATAAAGCATTGCTTTTTGTCGAAAAAGAAATACTGTTGAAATCGGGGCTTGGGTTGATGAACATTATTCGGACTATGTACAAGGAAAATCAACCGTTGTTCCACAATAAAAAACCCTAATTTATGCGTCGATATGTGACAATGGATGAAACATGGCTCCATAATTTCGCACCAGAATCAAAACGATAAAACCAAATTGTTTCAAAAAACTTTGTTTTTCCACGAATTTGTTCAGCCCAACTGTTGAAATTGTTATTAACGACGATTCGATCGAAATAATTTTATTAGAGCACTTTAGGTCAATAATTACCAACTTCTTTTGGCCTAAATTGGATGAACTGAATACCAACGGCATGTGGTTTCAACAGGACGTGCCACACAGCTCATGCCACATTGGATATGAGCGATTTTAGGGCATGGTCATCTTACGTGGGAAGATGTGAACTGGCCACCGAGATCGTGCGATTTGACACCGTTGGATTTTTTCTTGTGGGGTGTTCTTGTTTCACAGGTGTATGCGAATGAGCCCAAAGCGGTCCTCAAACCCAACATAACCCATGCCATCGGTCAAATAAGTTCAAAAATTGGAAGCGCTCCATATTTAGTTGTCCTAACTTGGTTTTCATTGGATATCAAAGTACTAGGTTTCCTGGAACCTACGATTGAACTATTATTTGCTAATTTCTCCTAGTTAGAGTCTTCTTATTCTCGCAAAAAACAGTAAAATTACTTGAGACTAATCGCTTTTGAGTAAAGCCAAGTTAAATACGGTTTGTTTTTATATTTGTTTTTCGAAAACTTGTTCTATCCGCTCCGTCTCTGGTAATTTATTCACTATGCGCAGCTTGCGTATGTCAATAATTGTTCAACATGTAAGGAATAATCCGTTGTAACTCTTTTTTTTTCTTTTCAGTGCGACGAAATAAAGGAACAAGCGGATACACGTAAGGTTGGACTTGTGAACACGTACATAACACCTTGGGACGTTATGCAAAACTCCGATATAATCTTCAGCTGCGTGACAGATCCGCGTGCCGCCAAAGAAGTGAGTAGAGAGCATTTTTTGTTATATAGAATATGCATGCTACTATTATTATGTAGGAAGCTCGTAAGGGACACCTATTTTTCTTATTTATTTCTTGGTATTTCCGACTTTAGTATCGAAATTTCTACTTTAAGCTCGAAATTTTGACTTGACTTGAAACTCGAAATTTTGACTTTGATTTTTCCAAATTCAGACTTCAATCTCGAAATTTCGACTTTCTAAACCTATTACTTGAATTTAAAAGTCGAAATTTTGAGGTTAGAGTCAAAAATTCAAAGTCAAAGGTTTAATAAATTGATGGATGTAACCGTTACTACGTGGTAGGAAATCATAATGAAAAGAGAAATGAAAATTTCTGTGGTTTTTACCACTTTTATTTGTAACTACCGTTATTGCAGTTTCGTCCTATACGGACATTTTCAAACAAAGTGATCATCTTCAAGAAGTAGATAAAAAACTCGTCTTCTTGAAGGTGATCACTTGGTGATCGAAACACCGTCGAGGTGTTGAAAATAACGATTTGGTTTTGGGAAAAAACTTCAGTAATATTCGAACTTTTGAGTCTAAAGTCGAAATTTAGAAATTGAATCGAAATTTTCAGTTTAATATCAAAATTTCGACTTGAATCTCAAAATTTCGACTGTAATCTTGAAATTTCGACTTTAATTTTGAAATTTTCACTCAAATTTCGGGTTTCTTAACCTAATACCTGAATTTAAAAGTCGACATTTTTAAAATTTTGATATTAAAGTTGAAATTTCGAGATTGAACTGAAAAATTCGACTCAATTTCAACTTGAATCTTGAAATTTCGACTTTTTGAATCTAGTATTTGAATTTAAAAGTCGAAATTTCGACTTCAAACTAAAAATTTCGACTTTAATCTCGAAATGTTGGCTGTAATCTCGAAATGTCTACTTTAATTTCGAAATTTTTATTTAAATTTCGACTTTCCCAACCTAGTACTTTAATTTAAAAGGTGAAATTTTGAGTTCAAACTCGAAATTTCAAAATTAGAGTCGAAATTTCGAGATAGAACTCAAAATTTCGACTCAATTCCAACTTTAATCTCAAATTTTCTGAATCTAGTACATGAATTTTAAAGTCGAAATTTCGAGATTAGAGTCGAAATTTTGATATTGAACTGAAAATTTCTACTCGATTTCGAAATTTCGACTGATTTTCGAAATTTCAACATCACTCTCAAAATTTCGACTTCAATCTCTAAATTTTGAGTTCAAAATTGGAATTTCGACTTTATAATTCAAGTACTAAGTTTAGAATGTCGAAATTTTGACTTCAATCAAGAAATTTTTTGAATTCAAAGTCGGAATTTCCACTTATATCTCGAAATTTTTAGTCCAAAGTCGAAATTTCGACTTTGAAAGTCAAATACTAAGTTTAGAATGTCGAAATTTTGACTTCAATCAAGAAATTTTTTGAATTCAGTCGGAATTTCCACTTATATCTCGAAATTTTTAGTCCAAAGTCGAAATTTCGACTTTGAAAGCCAAGTACTAGGTTTAGAAAATCGAAATTTCTAGGTTAAAGTCAAAATTTCGATATTAAAGTTGAAATTTCGAAATTCAAGTCGAAATTTCGAAATTCAAGTCGAAATTTCGAGATTCAAGTGGAAATTGGTGAAAATTTAATTGCAAGTATGTTGGTCTACATTTTTGAGGATGAATAACTCCAAGATTGTGGATGCTTTTGTCGGCCATTCAAAGTCTATGCTGGTTTACTGTGCTCACTCCTCGGTAATCCTTTGATCTTTTCTCAAATTTATCTTTCCATAACACGAATAACTAGTCAATTGAAAATCGACGTGTTCGAATGCAAACAATGAATAGGCCATAATCCGTACCAATCCTAAAATTTACCCGAATTTTGGTAATATATTCGAGATATTTAGAGGCTTATTGAATTTAGCCATCGACTTTCCACTGAAAGGTTTGCACAGAACTAATTATGCAGCAGGTAACATAGACCTTTGCCATTATGAATATCTACGGACTGTCGCATCATACAAGGAAACTATGGGAAATGGTTAGATACTGTAGACACATAAGTGCAGCTTGGCAAATTTAGCTGTGCCTTTGAGATGCGCGAACGATGAAGAGAGATGATAACTGTCCACTACCAACTTTTATCGCGAAGGACAATCGGTAGAAGAATTTTTACTCAAATAAATTCGGTGTTGACAACTACACACGAGAACCCCAATTATTTCTTTTGTGCACGTGGAAAATAATTGCATTCTCATTTGAGGTAAATTAATAAGGAGAAAATTGATAAACTCATAACCGATAATTGATAGATAGTTACTAGAAATGATTATGAAACGTAGCAGGTCGATAGTCTACAAAACATTACTTGCAATGTTTGTTTGAAGTTGATTGACAATTCATGATGAATTTCACTAGTTCGGACTTCTATTGTCTACTATATAAAATGATTTGAACTCCCTGAAACAACTAAAAAAGAAGAATTGAAAATGAATAGCTGAAAATAACAATTATATTAACCAAAATAAACCTGAAATGAAATAATAGTGAAATAAAATACAAGTAAAAATAGAGAACAATTGAAAAAATAAAAAATAAAAATAAAAAGTGGAGAGATTTCAAGTCACGTTAGTTCACGACGTTTCGATTGTTAGTATCTACAATCGTCTTCGGGTGATGACTGGACTGATTCCTCCGAGAGATGACTATTTAGAGGTCGTTGTAGTACTTTCACTTATCCCCGCTTTCCATTTTCCGCTTCACTGGTTCCGTGGGAGATGACCGTTTGGCGGGAGTTAGCCATTTTTCGCTTGATAATGGGTTTCCATATGTTGCGTATTTCTACGCTGGCTTGGCTGAATACGTTGTTGGACAACATGTATGCGGCTTTCTTGAATTTTCTCCTAAACCAATGCTCCTCTCTGAGCAAGATCTCAGCTTGGGACCACTCGATGTTGTGTTGATGGGTCCAAATATGGTCTGCTATTCCTGATTTGCTGGTTTCCCCTCGCTGTGTGTGTTTCTTGTGCTCGGCAATGCGAACATTCAATGGCCTCTTAGTTTCACCAATATAGGATTTTCCGCACTCACAGAGAAAATGCAATTCTTGGAATTGCAAATCGCTATTGGTGGCCTGGTTTTCGTGAGGCTGCTACGGATAGTGTTACCGGATCTGAAGCAGGTTCTGATGTTGTACTTGGAACCAATTCTTCCTATCCTCTCCGGAATGGCTACTCCAAAGCGACGGTAGAAAAGACTTTGTGTAAAAGACAGCAGGAGCCTCGCAAGGAAGAGATGCCGTGACAACCAGTGCTTGCACTTCCCTACATCTCTTTTTATTTGTAGTTGAAAGTTTTTTCTCACATTTTCTATTTTTTTTATCTCTGATTTGATTTTTATACAGTTCGCAAGTCACTGTTCACTACACGAGTTCCTTGATGGTAATGAGCTCTCGTCCCACTCCGTAGGCTGATCTACTGCGCATCCAATATTCAAAGGCACAGCTAGATTTGCTAATCTGTAAACTGACACGAATATAGCGATTCACGTGTGTCATAAATTTCACCAAAACAATAGCTTAGTTATGTATTCTATCAACTTTTGAATTTTATAGGGGAATCACTCGAATACCTAGTTTTTTTGAATAAACAAATAAATATCTCGAGAACTGTTTTTTTTTGGCATACGGTATATTACATAAACTCACATTAGAATTATACGAGGTAATCAAAAACGTGAAAATCTACAGGGCTTTACATTTTAATTAAGGGAGTTGGTAACAACTTTCGTTATAACCAAAATTTTTGATAAAACGCCATTATTCTCATTCGATAAGCAATATTTGTCAATTTTCAGGATATGAATCTTTTTATTTTCCAAAATACAGCTAACCGCCGGCCATCGCGCTGTTCATACATAAATTTCACGCTCTTCTCAATAATTTTAATATATTATATTCAGCTTCTGAGTATCTAACAGCCAAACTGCTCGAAATATGCTGCGAGTTCGTTGAACCTCCTTGGTGGTAATTCGACCGTCAGGTATTCCAACTAAACACTACCCGTATGTATGGTTATGCGCGAAACAAAACGGAAGTGAATAGTGCGATGACGATAGCGAAGAGAAAACCGTCTTTACTTCCGTTATAATGACGACAATTTCATCTAATCGATTCGCCAACACCGTCCACTTTGATCTACTGATGTCCTCGGTTAGGATGCGATTGTGGGTTGGCGATTTGTTGCTGATAATCTCGCCAGTTGGAGACACATGCCCATGTGTCTTTGTTTTGTAGAAACTGTAGACTACACCCAAACGGGGTTGACGTATCCAATTCATTGCCTATTTTTAATTTGGAATTGAAATGTTTTAGCTTTGTCTTTGCTATTGTGGTTTCTTAGTTTCTCGCTGGAGAATCATTAGTCGGCGGTGTTGCCGAAGAAAATTCTATTTACTGTTACTACCGTATATAAACAATTCCCAACTTAATTATTCAATGGTTGTTCAAAACAACCATAAGAGACACAGAAAATGCTGATGTTTTCGTCACCCACTAACTTTAGGGTTCTTTCCAAGGGTGTGTTTGTTATAATTTGTATGATGGAAGGGTATATGAGATACATGGCTGTGTAGTGAGGAATGGAAAAAAATACCAGCGTGGTCCAAACAGAACTGGCCGGTATCTCAATCGCCACAGAGGAAATAACCAGGGAAGTAATTTCTGGCAAAAAGATAGCAATCTGCACTGACAGCAGACAAGCCCTATTAGCCTTGGAACAGACAACGTGTTACCTCAGGGCTAGTACTAGAGTGCCACCAAGATTCAGCCAAAGCCTCGATAGATAATAACATTTTCCTGAGGTGGGTTAAAGGACACGACAGGAGTCGGCATTGCCGACTGTTTAGCCAAGGAAGCCGGCCGCTTCCTTGGCTAAACAGTTAAAAATTTTAGGACCCAGTGGCACCTACGCCCTGATGACTTCGACAATTGCGGAACTAGCCAAATATTACACCCATGCTAAATTCTTAAAGAGATGGGATAGAATCAAAGGATGCAACCTTGCCAGGATCACCCTGGACGACCCTGGGAAGCAGGCGCCGAAAAAATATCTGGCGGTGACCAGGAACAATCTGCGCTTGACAGTAGGATTTCTGACTGGCCACTGTCAACTAAGAAAACACCTCCATTATATAGAGCTAGTGGACACACTTCTATGCAGAATGTCTGAACAGGAAGATGAGACTGCAGGACATGTGCTATGCGAGTGCCCGAAGTTATCGACAATAAGAGAGTGTTTGTTCGGCGAGTCTTGGCCTACACCTGCTGATATAAGGAGATGTTTCCCAGTGACATGTCCACCTTTCTGGAAAGGACAGGATGGACGATGACCTTGTAGGACAATTCCTCGGGAGGATGTACAATGGGTCAGATGTGGCCTAAGTGCGTGGGCTTACACTCACCCTCCCTACTCTGCAGATACAGATACATGGCTGTGTCTAAGATTTCTGTTCGGAATATAAATGTTGACAGATTCAAGTAATTCAGTAAAATTCAACAAAACAGTCCATTGAGCAGCTTCAATGCATAGCGTTGATCTGCGTGAATTCTTCTGGTTTGCAATAGTTTCAGCTCCATTTTTTGTAATGTAATCGAATAGTCATGGTTCTGTTTTTGAAGACCCTACTTGAAAGAACAATAGTTCAAAAATTCATTTTGCACTCTTTGTAGACTGAGGATACACTACAAAAACACAGTTTTGTCCATTTTCCACGATATTTCTTTATTGTTGACTAGAAATATCGTGGAAAATGGACAAAAGTGTGTTTTTGTAGTGTATCCTCAGTGAACATGATTTTCCACAAAATAAATAAGTCAATCAAAGAAGTGAAACTCTTTGTAGAGATACACAGATACACATACATGCATATTATAATTTGAGACACCACTAGAGCTAAATAAATCCTTTTTAATTCGTGAATTCAAAATGTTTAACAATTGAGATTGGATAGCAAGAAACTGACTGTTACAGACAGAATGTATCTATTGTATATTCGCAAGTTTTATTGAATTTTATTTTATATTTATATCCAGGTAACCTCTGTGACTCCACTGGAATTATTACCCGTAGTCTAATTCCATGAAAAAAAACCCTTGTTATTGTTAAGAAACACCTAGTTTATAAAATCGGCATAAAGACTTTTGAGTGGTTAATAAAAGGGACAAAGCAAGTTAAGAGTGTTGGGACACACGTTCATATATACTTTTTCTCATAAAATATGACAAGGAATCACCATCTGACATAATTTGAGATATACCCTGTATAGCAAAGTACATTTTTTTCACTTTAAGAAAGAGAACACATAAATAACAATATCTCGTGTACTTTCCCAAGCAACCTTGATGAATATTCCTTGTTATTATAAACATTGTCCCTCCTTTGAGAAACAGAAAAACCAAACTAACGAATTTCTTTGTTTCAGAACGTCGTCGGCAACTGCGGCGTCGCCGGTCGCGATGGCGACATCCTCGAAGGCAAAGGCTACGTAGAGATGACCGGCATCGATCCGCAAACTTCCAAAGACATCTGCGAGATCATCAAGAACAAGGGCGGCCGATACCTCGAGGCCCAAGTGCAAGGCAGCAAATCCGAAGCCAACGAAGGCAGTCTAGTGGTCCTGGCCGCCGGCGACAAGTCGCTCTTCTTCGATTGCCAGTCCTGCTTCAAAGCAATGGGCAAGACGGCCTTCTTCCTAGGCGACGTTGGCTACGCCACCAAAACCAACCTGATCCTGCAGCTGATGAAGGGCGTGGCGCTGGTCGGACTGGCCGAGGGTTTGGCTCTCGCTGACAGATGCGGAATCTCCTCCAAGGACGTGCTGAACATCTTCAACTTGACCAATCTGGCTTGCGACTATATGACCAACAAAGCCGACCTTATCGCGAAGAAAGAATTCAAGCACGTCGAACAGGCGATCGAGCACATGCAAAAGGACATGAAGCTGGCGTTGGATCTGTCGGATCAAATGAAACAGCCGCTGCTGATGACGTCGACGGCGAACGAGGTATATAAACACGCGAGGAGGTTAGGATATGACGGACACGACGCCTCTTGTATATATATGAGAACGAGGCATTAGCGAATGTGGACGAGAAGTAAACCCTTTTTTCTTTGTTAATATATATATATTCGACTTGGGTCGACGTGCGGAGATTTTTCATACTGTGCAATTTTTGTTCGGTTGTTTTCGCCGCGGCTTCGAGGGAAGGTTGTTTCTTTATGGTTAATTTTCTCCTGGCTCCTTTGTAAATAGTTGAAAAAATGGTGTGAAATTCTAATTTAGATTCGTAATCGTGAGGCGGGGGCTTAATTTGGTCCCATGTAGATGTCATCTACAAATTCTAATAATATCGATCCCACATTGTTGATGTATGATTCAGAACTGTTAGATGCTGGAGAAGAGGATCATGTGATTTTATTTTATCTGATTGAATTTCCTACTTTACCTTCATAGTGAAGAACAAGCCCCGAAAAGTCATATTACAGCTATGAATGAATATATTATACAAACACTGATACATACATATATAATAATCAAAAAAACATATACTGTAGAATTATAATTGAATTGGCAGCGTGCAGAGAGTTGAAACACTGTATTTCACTTTTATGGTTTGTAATTAGATTGTAATTATAATTTCATAAAAAATTAACTTGTTACGAATTATATATTTGAAGCATCCAAGTGGAACAACAAAAATATCTCATTCTGAATAGAAACTATCACACATTTTACAGATGTTATAAACTGGGGATTTTATCAACATATTGATTCTTGGTATGTGCAAATAGGAGAAGATTTCGTTTCCTTTATACATGAAAATCTAGTTGAGATAACAAAGTTCCAAGAGATGGTTTTTCCTCAGTAACTCCGGAACTATGAATAGAACGATAAAATGGATTATTATCATCTTGTGTTCATTATAAAATTCTCTGCAAAAAAAGGTCTCTAGCTTTTTTTTTCATGTCAGCGATTCCCAAATATTTGGTATTCAAGTTTTAACTTTGCTGCATATAAAATGAGTCATCTCATTCATTAAATCGTGAAATAAGATTATTTTCACTTTTTTTTCCACAGTTTTTTCTATAGCTGTCCATCTGCACATGTTGTGGAAGTATGGCAGATAAAAAGTATCGTATCGACAAACACCCAGTTTTGAAACACAAAATTAGATCCCACTGACCGACAAAAGAATTTTGAACTTTTCTTCATATGACCACCATTTTCAAAATAACCGGAGTTTCATTCATTATATATTTTTACAATATAGCAACTGAAATATCGCCAATATTTTCGGATATATAATAAGGTTAAAATTGTCAATTGCTCCATTCACCAGAGATGAATCTCCTGAAGACGTTGGCTTATATGGTGAAACCTGCTTCGAGTAGAGTATTATATTTCTGGTGATAGGGAGAAGTACTTTTTTGGATTTTAATATACGCCATAGATTCTAGTTTCACGTTTTCTTTATATATAATAAAGTGGTTTATATCTTTTTAGCTCGAAAATCATAATTATTTTTTTTCAACGTCACCATCGATGTGAAACAACCGACGTTTCTTCACTTGGTTTCTCCAATATGCCGAAACCAATATATTCTGCAATATATATGCTGGAAAAAAATTATGTTGAGCTGTTTTCAATCTTTTTTTTTTTTGAGTGACACGTTCATTGCTATACTCCTATTCTACAATTAAATACGAACTCGGATTTTATTGCCACTTGAGATATTAAGACAAAATTGACAGTGGCAGTGGTTTAAGTTGCGAAGTAGGTCAGTACGTCTACCCAGGGTGCTTCTTGGTACAGATCACACATCAGAGATGGCGTTAACGGAGCAAAGAGCAAAATCGAGCAAGAAACATTTTCTTCTGTAGAATATTTCTCGATGAACAGAAAAGGCCTGTTTCTCCATATATTTCATTGTTTTCTAGATATTTTAATTGTTTTAAACTCGCGATTATTTTGAAAAGAGTGACTTTTTGGAAAACCTTTATAATTTTTTTGTGGAGAGAGTTTATAGGTGAAGTTAATCACTTAATAATAGTTATGAAAATTCCCAATTTTAAACAATTTTCAAAATACATAAATTTTATGATTTGAATGCAGATTAGATTCCAAAAACTGGTTAAAAAAATCGAATCATAGTTCCAGAGATAATGGGAAAATTTACTTTGACATCAAATGAAGAAAGTTTCTCTTGGATTTACTATGACTTTTCAAGGGATGTTTTCCACTATAAAATGATGATTTTGTAAAAAATTCAACCAGCTTTGAGTTTCATGATCAGAGGAACTCTAATAGTTCTGGATATCAATTATTATTTACAGTTGCACTCATCTATATTATGGTAATAGTTACTCTTGAAATCGTAAAATATGGAGAATATTGTAAATTCTTAGATTTGGTATCCGAGAAATGCTAATAAATCATATAATATACCAGCATGAAGCTTTGGACGGGAAAGATGGAAGATTTTCAAACGTAATTCATCAATTATTCTGACATTTTTTTTTGTAATGTGAACAGCAAACTCGGCAGAAACATTTCTTGGCAAATTTTTCAAATTATGTGGTGAAAAAGTTTCATTTTATTTACTTATTGGTATAAGTAACAAATTGAAACTTATATGTAGATTGATTGAAGCAGATTCGTCTAGAAGATGATATTTTCCGGCAATGTGAAGATCTGCTAAGAGTGCACATATTTTTTACTGTATCTGCAAAATGTCCCAACCCAATAATATAAACCAAAATCGCTCCTATCAAATAGCAGCATTCAATTTCTGACAATGCTACAGAGAAATCGCAACATAAGCAGACCTTGCTCTTCCCCTCTTCCTTCCAACCAAAATACGTTTTCTTTTAAAGGACCAACAAGAAGTTATTCATTTACCTTTCATGAAATGGTAATTATTGACATAATTATAAATTACATGTTTTCCTAGAAGTAATATTGTATTGTAATTGATTTTTTTTACAGTTTACCTGATGAATTAATCCAATTAAGTTTTGTGTCTGCCTACTGTTATATACGAGACACTATAGAATAATTTCATGTACTGATGAAGCTACCATATAGCGAAACGCGCCTCAAATGAAATTGATTCTGTAAGTTCTATTATTATTATCATGGATGGGATTATTAATTTTCATCAACAGGTAAGTCGATTCATATCTATATTAACAAATTTTCAGTCATGCAATTTTAGAAGACAGACAGACATAATTCGTAGTAAACCAGAAAATGGCTTGATTGCCAAAACAATAAATCATTATTATATACATATCAATTCAAAAATTGTTGTTTTGATGACACCGTAAAGATATTTTACTACACCATTTTGCATTTTTTTTATTTTTCGATTATCTTCAGGCTTCACCAAGTTGGTTTAGAATAGTGGTACAGGTCTAGTGTGTGACAAGAGTTCAAAAATCTAACAACTTGCCTTAGTCTCCATCTTTATACCCTTCTGCTTATAATTGGTTTTCGTTACCATTGTCGTAAATGGCATTCAGTTCTCCATTCATGTTCTTCAAAAGCTGTAAATGAGTGTTATGTAGCTGGCTTAAACGTTATTTCATGTGTATTGTACAAACCAACTGATTTGTTTCTGGGATTGTACGTTAAGATGTTGTACGTTGAATGTTGGATTGATTCCGCAGATTTTGTAGGCTTTTTCTCTCTTTCTATCGCCGTTCATCAACTATTGCTTGAATGTCCTTTTCTTTGAACTAGATTGGAATATTTTTCAATCACATTGCAGGCTCTCTTTTGGTTTTCGTAAAATTTTTCCATGTTTTGAACTGGCGAAAACTGAAATTTCGGTAGATACCAAACCATAAAAGATACAATTCCTTTGAAGAATATTTCAATTAATAATCCTCAAATGTTACAGCCGAGAGAAATTTTATTTATTTATTAATTTTAACTATAATCTGTCGAATTGTTCACAGGTCACATTACAAATGATTGGGAGCCATTGTATTGTGAATCTCCCTCCCCAGCAATGGTGAAAATAACCCTATCAGTATATTCATAATTTGAAATTTCAAGTCTTTTTAAAATACAAACTTTATTTTAATTTTATTATTATCCTTTACTTTTAAGCAGATTTTCATTGTTTATCAATATGTGCGTACCTTCATTTGACTGTAGTATAAAAGTAAGAGGTATATAACGTGCCTATTCAGCTATAGGTATAAAATGTATTTGTATTGAAATAATAGTTTAAGATTTAACATTGTATTTTTTGGTTTTCAAAATAAAGATTGTTTTCATTCACCTTTGTATCTAGGGATTCCATACATTAGCCTTTTAGATAATTTTTGGTAAAATTTCGTATAGGCTGCACCCGCCGATTTCGAAAAAATACTTGTTATGTACGAGGTTTGTTCAAAAAATTAAGATGATGTTTAAATTTCGCGGGCTTTGGGTTTTGCGTATTCGGCGATTTTCTGTCATGAAAAAAATGGATTGAAAATTTTACATACAATTTTGTGTAAAAAAACGGAAATGGGCGCTTAAAACACTTGAAATGCATACGGTAAATCTACTCTGAGTCAAAAACATATTCACAAGTGGTATATATAAGCTTTTCACAGAAGATGTGAATAACCACGTTCACCCTGGAAGCTCCAGCACATCAACAACCGATTAAAATTTCGAGAAAGTGAAGAAAATTGTTATGGAGAATCGTCGAATTACTATTAGAGAAGTTGCTGAGGATGTCGGCATATCGGGGTGCCATGCAGGGGTGTTATCGTGAAGACGAAAAAAACGTCCATGCACCTACTCACAAGTAACGGATCAGTCCATTTTCAATTTAAAATTTCTTTGTCAGAAATAAAAAGAAATATATCGGCACTGAAATTTGTAGACATCCCAACTCCAAAACGTACGATTTTCAAGGAGAGACAACCATTATGAGAAATTATGTATAATTCAGTGGCAACTATGGTTTTCAACAATTTGACTACAGTTACATTAATATTTGTGCAGTATTCTTCTCGACATGCGCGCACCTTTGGAATTGGAACTTTGCGAAAATTTCTTCAGAAATAAATTTTATTCTTGCATACTGCTACCATCCTGCGGATTATCTTGTCCTCCACCAGATAGACAGCCAGTTTACAACCTTCATGGTTTGGCAAAAATCAACCCTTAAGAGATAGAAAAGGGAGCTAGAACCTCTGATTGCACTTTGGTACTTGAGGACACCTATACCTGGTTTTTTTCTGATTTATGAAGATCCATAGTAATTTCATAAACAGCACCTTACGAATCGATCTTCAGGAACTTTATTTTCAAGATTTATCACATATCGCTATCACACTAGCTTTATCGTAGCGAATAACATACTGAAAGGTAATTCCTTCCTCTAATTTTCATATGCCCCACGTAATTACAAGTTAGAACTACCTACTCAGGTACTTCTATGATCATAATTACCTAGAGCATCCACTATACTTTTATATAACTAAGGTACATCCTACACAGATCATATTACATCAATTCTATATATCAATCTATATATCTATGAAGACTAAGATACATCGGTTTCTAAGTTCCTGTACATATTTTTTTTATAATTCTACCTCTAAGGGGTAAAAAGGGGGTCGGGGGCCCTCTCGTAGACCGAAAAAGCTAGGCTTTAATACTTGAGAAAACTGTAATCTTACATTTTTAAATTGTTTTCTTGATAATAGCTGATAACGATATTCTCCTTCTACTACTGCAATCTCAAATTATATCGTGAAGATATATTCAGCAAATTTATATTTCTGATTTAAAAAAAAGCATTACTCACGAATTGTTATTTGTAAATCTTTTAATTGAATTTCATTAAAAATGATCAGGTTATGATTTCTCTCACTTATGATCAAAAATTAAAAGCGCTCGTAACAAAAATCATCAAATGACTTGAAAATCCCAGATGGAATGTTTTATTTATGTATTTCAAACCCTCTGGTTACATCAATTTTGGTTGTAGGTAATGTAAGCGACGTTTAACCCGTTACGAGCCGTCTCTGGTGCTGTTGTGTCAGCTGTCAAACTTTGAGAACATTTGAATAAATCGACGATGTATCGGGTCCGATAAATTTGGGTTTCTAGAATGGGGGAAGTTTCATTTTGTTGTTGATACTATATTTAACTCAATTGAATTGAAATATAAATGGAAACTAAGAAATTAGCGAAAGAATTTTTGAGTTCCATCAATAAATGACAGAAATGGATTATTGTAGTTTAAGTAGGCATGTTAGCACGGAACAATTGACTGCAACGTCATTGGACGCAACTGAAATAGTTGCATCATGAAAACCTAATAGTAGCACCGTGTCTCTCGCGCTGTTTATAACATCCATTTATTTGTTATTTATAAGTAGTGTAGTTTTCATTTCATCACAATGGGAGAAGGCTCAATAAAAGGACAAAGTGATAATTTGCCTAGAATTGATACATTCTACAGTGCGTAGTGATGTTTTTTTTTCAAATCACTCCAATGTTAGTGCTGACAAACGAGATGAACTTATCAGGTAAGTACCTGAATAACGAAGAGTATGATTGAAAATCGTTTCAAAAACATTTATAGTTAAGTATTGGTCATGTTTACAATCTATACGTCAATTTCTACTGTGTAGGGTTGACGGCAATGATATCAAATGTAGAAAAGAAAATTGAAACTTTTTATGATTAACCACTTTTATTTGCAACTAACGTTACTGCATTATTATATTAATGTATAAGTTTGAAAATGTCTTTATAGGACGAAACTGCAGTAACGTTAGTTACAAATAAGAGTGGTAAAAAACATAGAAAATTTCAATTCTCTTTTCTTCAATGTGATTTCCTACCACGCAATAACGGCTACATCCATCAATTTATTGATATTGAATGTATTGATATTTTTAGCCAAGCTTTTTACCGAGATGTAGCTATTGGATATGTTCACCTGAACAAAGTATCATTGCACAATAAAATATTTGTAGATGAATTTTTTAGTATCCGCCATCGTGAAATAAACAAAACACTAGCAGAGCTAGTAACTGCCCACCAATGAATTTACAGCAGTGTTGTTCCTACTAGAACAAATTTGGTAACATAATTTTGTGAGAAAAAGTGACATTTGATGAAAAAAGATAAACATTACATTGCGGAAAATGGGGATAGATTTATGAGCCGCGTTTTTGGAGACGGATAACTGGAACATAATACGTTCTGTACGATATCTCTAACTCTTGAAATAGAAAATTAACATTGACTTTTTCATTCTGTAAATAATCGAAAAGCAAATATGTTGACCACAAATCGGATAAACAAATAAATAAGCATCACAAAACCGTCACGTAACAAAATTCTCTGTTCTTTGACCACAACTACAGAATACGTTACTAAAGAGGACAGAACAGAAACCATGAACATTTCTGACAGACGACAACCTTGAAGAGGATTATTATCAACTAAAAAAACTTGTCGAGTTGTTAGTGAACGTGAAAATAATAAAATGAAGCTGGTTTGAATAAAATGTTTACCTATGCCGACTTAACATCGTGATAATTTCTCAGTCGAAATTAAATAATATATCCGATAAGTTTAAAATAATTTGAATTTACCGCCGAAAGTGACTGAACATCACCAACACAGAATATAGGCCACAGAAACGACCCTCGAAACAAACTACCGCCGGATGGTGTTTCTTGTGTAAGATAGTATGATTTTGTGTGACAGAGCCTATGTCACAGAAAATATAGATTTTTTTCCTCAATAATTATGAAATTGAAAGACTAAAACGTCTTCAGAAGGTGCGATAAAGGTAAATTAGAAACCGGGTAGGTTCAGAAGTAACACTGATTTATAGGTTCAGAACATAACTCAGTGGTTCAGACTGTACGGCTTTGGTCGTTAACGTCTGAACTCTAGACGAGCTATAAGCATAATATACGAGCTATGTCGTTTGCGTTCAGTGACGTCACACGCTGGAGCGTCGTATAAAACGAATTTATAATTGCAAGTGCAACTTTAGAGCCGCATTACTTTCTCAATTGTAGACATATTTTACTGATTTTTCAACACTTCTGTTTTATTCTACTTGAATTTTCATAATGAATCTATAAAAAAATCTGAAATTTCTTCATTATCGAGAAAGTATAATGAAGTTCGGCTTCAAGTTTGGAGAATGTGCTGTGTGTAACGATGTCATTTTACCGAGGATAGGAAATGCCTTTGAAGAATATTTGCGACCCTATTATTTCTGTTTGAGTAATGCATCAGTTACGGAGAGCGGTTTCATAGCGGGTTTATGCAACATACTTCCCATGATTAAGAACAAAGAGTTCGACAATAACAAATCAACGCGAGTCTTGATGGAAACTTGGATAAGACTGTCAATTGAAAACATTACTTAGAAAGTTAGGCAACATTCAACTAATAATTAGGAGCTTAGGTTGAAATGAAAATGAGCATGCGCAAAGTTGACATATGTCATGTCCATAGAGATTTCAAGTTGAATATTTTAAATTTTCACCTATTGTAATGGAAAAAATTAAAAATATTTGTGGTTATGTGCATAAACTTTTCTTGGGTATAGTCTCAGTTCTAGTTATTGGGTTTAGTCTCCGGTATCGTTGCATTAACATTTCAGTTGCCATAATTTGTCCATTCAGTAGCTTGAATATGAAGACTGTATCAAAGGTTTCTCTCCTATCAAAAATTTCTAAGATGTTGGCATTATTCAAAATCAATAATAGGTATATTGATCTTACAAGTACAAGTAAAATCTTGAGAATTCATTTTGTATTCTTTCAACAGCAACCTTGTGATTGTCATAAAATAGGGACCATATTATTGAACTGTAATCTAATATTGAGAGTACTACCCTCAAGACTTGAAGAGATATGTTTGCCATGCCAAATAGTGAATCTAAGGCATTTTATTGCTTTCACCATAATGCGAGTCACGTGGTTTATAAATTGAAGTCTACTAATTGAGACATTTCTTTCAAAAAAAACTTGGAAGAGCAAACTTTTCTCAATATTCAATTGTAATTTGTTTTTGGATAACCACGTAACCTCCTAATATTCACCCGGCTGTTACATCACTGACCTCGACAGTTTATCTCAAGTCTCCTGAAGTATGATGCTAACCTCAATTTTAACGATTTCTTCATTTCTCAGAAGAATGTTCACCAGTCTCCAATTTTTTTCTCATCAGAATCAAGCATCTGTTACAGGGATAGTTGGTGAAGCAGGTTAAAATTTTGGAAAATGAAACAAAGTTTACTGTAATAATATATTTGAAAGAAAAGTTTGGGTCCTTTTGTTACACATCACCACAAAAGTATAACTGATCTTAAACTTTATGTATAAATATGTACAAGGTACTGATGTATTTTCTCATTATTTATGATCTAGTCAAGGTCACTTTAAGTTACTTTGGAGTTACTATGAAAGTTTCTGTCAGATAAGTTTTTTGTCAAAACAGACCTCAGTTTGGTTACACACTTATTACTCGAGGAGAAAACAAAAAAACGAAATAAATATAAAATAAATTAATATATTTCAAACAAAAAACAATCTGTTTCAGTCGATATGTTTGGATTTTATAAAAATATAATAAACTGAAATGCAAGGTCAACTCGCAATGCCAGTAATAATTTACAAAAGAAAAGAACAATCAATTGAATAAATGTTATTATAAACACAAGGAAGTCAACAATCAACCGAATTCCAAACAAAATTAACAAATAAAATATCAACTGAATGCAGGCTAGTTAGAGAGATTACAAAATATATCAAATTTACAGATTCCAAACCACATCTTGTCATCATCGTATACACATTCTTCCGTTGGTCCCTTCCAGCCTACCCATTTCTCTGGATATTCGTGAGAAACTCGAAAATAAATTTAACAACAGTTATGCCACATCAGATAATTGTGGCACCCTATAAATGGATTTGTAACCAAACTTTGCTCTGTACAATTATACAGAAGTTCGTTATCATTACTAATTTCAACAAAAAATATGTGTAATTGAAATGAACATATGGATATAATTGATAAATAAAATCAATAAGGCGTCCTTTATAGAGTGTGAAAACGAAACTTTGCTGATTCTGAGATTACTGAGAAATTTTTCTGGATCAATTTTTGCTTACACAGTTTATATACATATACACACATATATGCGCGTATTTGTATATATATACATGGGTATATACACACATGGGTATACATATATACATATGTGTATATGAGCTTCATTCATAAAAATCTTGAAATTTCAATATGAGAGCAATCAATCTACAAGATGTTCTTGTTTTCAGAAACAACAAAGTGACAGGAATCATAACCTAGAAATAGGACACACTACATAAACAATTAATGTCCATGTATACCTTTAGAAGGGAACTACACAAGGATTCATTAGATGTGCTGATTGTCAACAAAATATTTTTTTGATTATTAAAATAGATAATTATCAGCAATATACATTATAATTTAGATTTGCAAAATGCTGTGAATGTGTATAGATATACACAACTTTCCATTTGTTGGAATAGTTTCAGCGGGTAAAAAAACGCCCAACAGAAGGAGAACTTTAAAATGCTTCAGCAGTAATACATAATAGCTATGGATGGATATCAGAATTTCATCTGAGTATTTGTTTTCAATTGAACTCAATTCGATTGTATTTGATTGTCAGGATTTAATCATAACGAACGTCTGTTCTAGAGCTTTCAATTACAATTACATAAAATTCTTTCGAAGAAACTCAACATTTTAAGATTTTTTTGCCACCATAAATTTATAAATAATGTCACAACAATATAAGGTAAAAAAGTATTTTTTCACAATATTATTTCGTTTTGCAAATGGCCTTAATAAAACGCCTACAATAAAAATGAAATAAATTAAAATTAATAAAATATACATGATATACATACATGGTACAATATATGCACACTTATCCCTAGAATATATTATATGCAAAAATAACAATGACTACAATTTTTCAATAAATCTACATCCACAATCCACAACCAAGTGAGATGTAGAAATTTGTTTCACTAGGCCTAGAATATTTTCCAGCGTTGTACAAATATAGCATGTTGTAAATATATAACTTTAGCATACAGTATTTACAAAAAAATATACACTATGTACGTTGGAATTTCACTAATAATGTAAAAATATTAATTATTATAGTACTGCACCCTCTGTGGTGGGCCGACTCATTGGCCAACTTTTCATTTAACCATTTTAAAATGGCCCAATTGCCCTAAGTAAAAGATTAAATAAGTCAATTAGCTAATCTAAGTAAGAATTCCTGTGGAATGATCAGTATTCCGTCAGAGCAGGGAAGTGAATCAATTCTTTTACTGAATTCAATGGATTTCATCCAAAAAGTCTAATTTTCAAATATACCGCAGTACCAAAAATGAAACACCAATTCGATGTGTCATATCACCAATATCATTTCTCAGTCACGTATTACATCGCCTTCACTCTGATGAAATAATCTGCTTCACGCCCAGAAACCCTTTCGTTAAGATAGGATAAAATGTTAAAGAGTGCCGAGACGATTCCATTGACAATTGAATTGACTTGGTGCTTTCTTTGGCATACATTTTTTCACATTATGTACAAGGCAGATGGAAGTTATTCCTAACTGTCCCTTTTACACCTATTTATGCCTTCCCTCACGTACCGTACCAAGTCGATGAGCGAACTGTGCATTGTCAGTGGCCTGCACTGCCTGTCCAGCTCGATGAAAAAATCTGCAAAAGAAAACGGTTTCAACTCAACTTGAATTTCTTGGTAGCTGAAACTGCGAAAAACTATGATGCTCTCTAAGTGGCTCGGGGAGCTATTAACATTGCCTACCCAGAACACGAAGCTAAGGACCAGACTAGTCAATGCCGTTGACACAAAAAAAAAATAAGTACTGTTTCATTATGTATTTGCAACTTGGAACCTTATGTTTACTTTTTTGGTTTTCGCAATATAATCCAGTTAACTTTTTGATGGGTTTTTAATGGGATCTGCGACTTTCGCAATCTGAAAACCTTTATATCAACATATGAGACAAGTTTCGAATGCTGGGCGCCATTTATACTCAGTAATTTGGCGGAACTATACAAATTTGACTCATTCAGATATTTCTGTATTTTGAAATCTATAGAAAGCCAAAAACATTGTTTCTCAAAAATATACACTTTTCAATTTAAATATTATGCACAGTTCAACTTCCATGTCATTATGGTAATGCTACTCTTACTTATAATAATAATTATTTATTTATTTCCACAAATTAGTTTGCACATCAACATTGTTATAATGCAAATGAAAAAGCGAAAAATGTCGGTAAATTCAAGTAGAGAAATGACATAAAGAAAATGTATATACATATTTGTGATATTGATGACTTATTTATTTTGTGGAAATTCATCTTCAATTAAAATGATATAGATATGGAAATAAAATACTTTGTCTAATTTCCACTTGCTTAATGTATTGATATTAATACGACCAAGGTTTCGGTTTTTACACCAGTCTCAAGTGTAACATCAAAGAACAGAATCAATTACTCAGGTAAACTTTCAGTGAATATTCAAAATTACTTTTCCAAATTCAACATAATAACATCTTTCATAAGTAATAATAATTTAGGCAAAATCATATTTAATGCAAAACCTAGACGTGACAGAATGAAGAAATCTGGCATATATAGAATAGAATGTAGTGAATGCTCT